ATGTGGCTGGTTTGGAGGAGGCAGTTGGTCAGGGATCCCTCGTGTGAACCTGCTGCTCTGTCCCCATGGCCCAGGGAAGCGGTGACAGCGGGAGGCATGGCTTTGCCCCGTCACTGAAGCAGAACCTGATGCTTCATCTGCTGCCAGCACCGAATCTCCTGTGCCAGGCCGGAGGAGCAGTGCCCAGGCCTGGCTGCCCTTGCCTGGGCACAAGGTGAGGGCCAGCAGGACCCTCGCCATGCTGACGGCCGTTCCCTGCCCCAGCACAGCTGTTTTAGTGCCCAGCACAGTTTGGGGACTGCAGAACCTCAGTTCTGGTCTTGTGTTTGCTGCTGGCTGTAACCTTCCCAGCACACCATCCTCTTCCGTGCCTCAGTTTCCCCTGTGAGTTAAGCAGGAGGGATGCTAGAAGGGTGGAGGGGTACGTGGGACACATGGGTTTGGCATCTGCCTGCAGTGGGGACTTGGAGAAGGAAATAAAAAACAAAACATGGAAATCAGAGCTGTCACCTCCTGTGTTGTTTGTTCCAACTGTCACCTCCTGTGTTGTTTGTTCCAGAAAGCTGCGGGTCCTGGCCACGGACCTGGTTCCCTGGGCGATTCGGAGCGGGCGCAACGCCAGCTGTATCCTGAACGTCTACTACGAGCAGCGCTGGGAGCAGCCGGTGGAGTCCCTGCGGGAGGAGATCGGCATCTTCCCTCCCCCGGCCATTCGAGTGTGACAGCTCCAGCACGGGGAGGGGACAGGGATCCCCGTTGGCAGACAGCAGCCATCCCCATCTCCTCCTGCCCGGGAGTGCAGCGTGGCTCTGCTACCAGCTGCCACGGACCCAAAGCCGAGTTTTCTCCTGCCAAGAGTTGGCACCCTCGTGTTGGTGGAGGCCAAGGGGCACCTCCCTGAGCCGTGACAGAACTTGACCCTTTCTGCTGTCGGTGGCTCAGGGGAGGGATGGCAAGGCCTGCTGTGCCTTTGCCAGCAGGGTCTGGCTGCTCCGGTCCGCCCGACAGCAGCGCTCCGGTCCGGATGCTCAGAAATGCTGGGATGGGGAGGGAGCAGAGCTGGTTTACAACGCACTGCAGCAAACCACCACATTGGCCTTCTGCAGCTCGGGGGCTCTGGAGGTAAATCCCTCCTCCCGCCCTCCCCAGGAGGATGGAGACGTCAGGTCTTGGGGCTGCCCAGGACTGGAGCTAAACCAGTGATTCACAGAGCAGCCCAGGGGCAGGTCTGCTGTGTGCAACAGTGAAATCCCGACTTGTACTGGTGCCTAACTGGTCTCTTAATGGGTCATGTGGGATGTGCCTCACGCCTCGGAGACCAGGCAGCGCACAATTGCATGCCCACGGGAGTGGGCAGGGACATACCTCTGGATATTATCCCGGCTGGATTGGCTGTCTGCGAGCCGATCCCAGGCTGCCGTGTCTCCCTGTGGTCCCTCCCCATCAAAGTGCTGAAATCCGTGTGACCGCGCCGGGTTTGGAATCCTCCCTTCCCTGGGCAGCAACGTGACACGATCGGGAATAGGGCTGCATCCCGGGAGCAAAGAAACAGCAGCCACTTGCGCTGCATCTGGGTGCTGATTGCTGTCTGGGTTAATTAAACGGAGCTGCAGACTGCCAGCAGCTGGAGAGCAGAGCTGTCGGATGCAAGGGCAGAGCCACGAGGCCAGGGGCTCTTTGTGTGTCTGGGTTTGCTGTTGAAATTCCTTCTTGCTTAATAAAATCCACGGTGGAGCTCCTGGTTCGTTGCCCCTCTCCTTCCACCCCATCTCCCCTGCTGAAGGGGAGATCTGACGTGAAACCTCACCCTGTTTCGGCTGCGGCAGGGTCTGCTCTTAGTCTGTGGGGGTAGGTGCTGGCAGGGCACGCGCGTGGCTGCACGTCCCTGAGGACCAGGGCACAACATGGGCTGCGGAGCTGCATCTTTCCAGCTGGGATTTGGGGATGCTGGGCTGTCGAGTGGTTCCTTGTGGTGCTCATTGCAGAAAGGACCAGACAGGGGAAGACTGGGGTGCAGAGCAAGAGTGGGGCAAGGCTGGGGGCTTCCTAAAGCCATTCTGGTTCCCAGGGGAGGGAGGGGGTGCTCTTACTGGGGTCCATTGGTGGCTTGGGAGGGGTTACACAGCTGGGGACATGGCATTGCCACGCTGTGGGCTTCGCTGGCCCTGTCCCAGTCTCCTGCAGGATGCTGGAGAGGACAGGCGGGAGCAGGGGCTGACGGTGGGGCTGGGGGTCAGAGTTGCTCCATCCCAGGAGGCTGAGCAGGGGCAAAACTCTTGGGTTTTGGGCTACGTTTAAGAGCGGACAGAGGGACTGACTTGCGTCCTGCACCCCCTGACTCCCCATTTTCAGCTTCTCCCTGCTTTCTTCCCCCCCCAGCCAGACTTTGAGGTTTTTCTCCAAAACCAGGCTCATGCCTCCCCTTGGCCCCCGGCGTTGTTTCAAGCAGACAATAAAGGACATCATACAAATACATCCCTCAGCTGCCAGTGAAATGCACAGAGTGGGGGTTGTCCTACTGCACTGGTCAAGATGAAAGAAGCATTTGGCCCTAAAACAACCCAGAAACGTCCTTTTCTGCATCGAAAACGTGTCGGAGCTTTAGGGTGGTTAAACCGAAGGGCGGCAAAGATTCCCCGCGTCCAGAAGCCGTGAGCAAGCGGTCGAGGAACCGCGGGAAGCGACGGTCATGAGAGCGGGTTTCGCTGCGCGTCGGGTGACGCAGTGTTGGGCTGCCGGTGGGCATTGGGCTGCTCG